CTCCAGGGGGGGCAGGCCTGCGGCAGGTGGGGGGCATTAGTGAGGGTCCCCGGTGCAGGGGCGGGCGCTGTTGCCCCGCTGCCAAGCCGGGCCTGCCGGTCCCCCACCTCCCTCCTCCCCGAGCACCCTGGGGCCCCTCGGCCGAGCCAGAAGGTGCAGACCCAGGGCCGGACGCGTCGAAAGGAAGAAAACGCCAGAGTCTCCATGGAGACACAGCAGCGAGGGGAGTGTGCGCTGCTCAGTCAGGACCTGCCTGGCCACCCGCATCCGCGCGGATGTCTGAGGGGGCGCGCCCCGGCTCTCCCTCGCAGAGCCGGGGTCACCCTCGCAGCCGCCCCGGCGGGGGGCCCCGTGCCGCCTCCTACGGGCCGGCCCGCAGCGGCAGTGATGGCCACGGCCCGCCCTGCCCGCCTCCCGTGGGCCGTGCCTCCCCCTCCCCCGGCTCCAGTGTCCCCTGGCCTGTCGAGGGGCTCCCTGCGCCCCTCCGGGGCCTGGCCCTTAGAGAGAGGCCTGCAGGCCCCGCCCCGGGCTGGCAGCGGCCTGTGGCCGAGTGACCTTCAGGGCCCTGCTGTCCTTGGTGATGGTGACTGTGACGTGGCAGGACCTGCTGTCCCCCTGACTCGCTCGGGCCTCCCAAAGCGCCGCCACAGAGAAGCCGCCAGCCCTTCGGGCAGACGGGGAGACCCAGGCACAGCGAGGGCCGGCGAGCGGTGCGGCGACTGGGCCCTGGGTCCCCTCACTGCCCCGGGTGAGCCAGCTTCTCCTGCTGCCCCGCCCTGTCCCGCCCACCGTTCCCGGGCGCGCGGCGGGGGGTCCCAGGCCGCGGGCCACAGGCCTGCGGAGAGCGTAGGGCTCTGTCAGGCCGGCCACACCGTGAGGCCCTGTGGGCACTTCCCGGCCGTGGGCCCTTGGCCAGGGCCCTGGGCGCCCGGCGCTCCCCAGTCCCCACCTGTGACGGGAAGACGAGGTGCTCTGAGTCCTCACACGTGGGACCGGCGGGGGTTACAGCACTGAAAGAGCGCAGGGGTCGGGGGGACCGGCGAGGGCCCCCCGCCCCGGCCCCTCAGCGGCTGCGGCGGCCCCCGGGCCGATGGCCCTGCGCTGCCCCACCGGCTCGCCCCCTGGTGCGTCCAGGCGTGGGCACCTCAGATGTGACTTTGGAGCTCGGAAGGTGCTCCGGGCGGGGGTGGGGGGAGCAAAATAAATGTCTCCCAGGCACGTGGGGCGTCCCAGCCGGCACCCTGGGTTTGGTGCACTTTCCTGAGCCCAGGGCGGCTGGCCCGGCTGGCGCGCGCCGAGTCCCCACCCCCACCCCTTCCCCGCGCCCCAGCGTGCCTGGCCCTCGTCTGTCCGCCCTCCCTGTCCGTCGTCCGGGGCGGTGCTCCCTGATCACTGTGTCCCCAGGGGCCAGGCTGTGGCTGGGTTCGTGGAGGGGCGCCCCCAGGGTGCCCTCTGACCCCCCCCACGAGCCTCCTGCCACCGCCGCTGCCGGTAGGCGGGGGCCGGGGCCTCGCGGGCCTCACGGGCCTCGCAACGTGCCTGCGGCGGTCCCGTCTCGGTCTTCACGCAGAGATTCCTGTGGAACCCTCGGGACGCCCAGCCCACCCATGACCCTGTGAGTGGAGGGCGGAGTGTGTAACCGGGTGTGCGGACGTGTCCACGCCCGTGTGTGTCCAATGAGAACGTCTGTGTGCGTGTTCGGTGTCAGCGGCCCCTCTTCTGTGCGTTGCCTGACCCCTCTGTCACCAGCAAGATCTGGGACAGTTTGGGGACATATCTTCTTGGGTCAGAGGCTGCCAGAGAGCCGCCTCCCAGTCCCGGGGGACCTCGTCCTTCGTGACCGTCTCTGAGGACGTGTCCCTGGCTCCCTCCCGGAGTCCCTCTGGTTCTGTTCTGGTGACTCATTTTCCAAGCTGTTGAGTAAAGTAAGCAGATCCCTGTGTTGATGGAAATGAAGAAACAGTTTATTCCAAAGGGAGCCGTGCAGTCTGTGCACAGCGAGGGCCTGGGCGTGCGGCGAGCAGCCAGCAGCCGTCCCCGAGCGTCCCCAGTGATCAGCACTGCGTGTCCCTGTCCATCTGTCCAGACCCAAGTCAGCAGCATGTGGGCCGCCTTCGCCACAGTGGCCGCCCGTGGACGTGGGCCAGCGGCCGGGCTCCAGGGCTCAGCAGGGTCGCCCCGATGGCCCAGTTCCTTCGGGTTGGGGGTGGGCGAGGCGTCAGGAGGGGCAAAGGGACAGTGGGAGACGCAGGAAGGGCTCTACCACCTGCGCCTGCCGCACGCACCCGCGCCCCCAACGCCGCGTCCACCGCACGCGCCCGCCCCCGCATGCCCCACGCCGCCGCTCGCAGACGTCCCCCTCCCCCGTCCGCCGCGTGTGCGCATCCCGACGCCTGCGCCCGACTCTGCCCACCGTCATTTCTCCCTCCCTCTCCGCTCTGTGCACCTCCCTGGAACGCTGGCTGCTCCTCGTCCGCCCCTCAAAGGTGCTCGCAGAGGGAGACACGAAGCCCAGGAAGGAGCGGGTCACTCTGGCCGGAGCCCACGCCCCTGGGGCCTCCCTTAGGGAGGAAAGCAAAGGCCGCAGGCCCGAGTCCTGTGTGCACGTTGTGGACACGTGTGCATGCAGGGACGTGTGTGGGTGTGCGACGTGTGTGCGCGTGCGCGTGTGCGGTGGGGGGTCCGGGAGGGGAAGGAGTGACCCCACCCCGAGCCGGGCCGCACGGGGTCCTGGGGCAGCACCGCCCCCTCGGAGGCCCAGGCGGCACAGACCTGCTCTCCGCTGGGCCTGGGGACAGAGACTAGGGACGCAGCCAGGAATGACCTCATGCTCCCGACCCGCCATGGGAGCCCGCAGTGTTGTGACCCATGAGCAGCCTGTGACCGCTGTCCCTAGCCCTCAGCCACCATCGCTCAGCACCATCAGCCCTCAGGGGACACTGTCCCCCGGCCAGGAGCTGCCACAAAGTCTGGGCCAAAGGAGATGAAGTTGTGACGTGTGGGCATGAAAGGCCCTTTTGTCTGCGGGACGTGGTGGCCCAGCGCTGTGCCTCCGACCGCCCCCAGCAGGAAGTGGGCTCCGGCTGTGAGCACCGGCTCCCGGGACAGACAAAGGCGGTGTGTGCTCGGCGCCGGCCTGCAGCGCCCTCTGCAGGGCGGGCCTGGCACACCCAGGTCGGCGCGCCCGGCGGGGACAACACTCGGGGGGCTCCGCGTGTCTGTTCATCCCGCGAGCGAGCCCAGCTGCCTGCTGCGTGCCAGGCAGGCCAGCCCCCCGCAGCCCCGCACACATCTTTGTGTGCACGCGCACGCATGCTGTGTCCGTGTCTGTGCGTGGGACGCACACGCCTGTGCGTGTGTGAGCCGTGTGGCCGCAGCAGGGGCAGGACCGGCCCGTGTCCGGAAAGCGTGAGGCCGGGGTCTCCCATTCTGTGCCCGGTCGGGGGGGTGGTCCCGGGCGGCAGCGGCCTGCGCCCGTGCTGCGCCCTCACAGGGCGGGAAGGGGCCATGAGAGACCCGGCCACTCCAGTGCTCTCGGACCGGCCCCCGTGCGGCCTCATCCCCCTGAACTGCTTCCTCAGAGGTCGTGCCTTCAAGCACCCCCGTGGGGCTCAGGGCCTCAGCCTGGGACCTGGGGGGCGGCGCACAGGGCTGCCCAGCACACACCCAGGAAGGACCCGGCCCCGGGTGACCCGCTGTGGCACAGCCTGCCCCCTCTGGAGGGCGGGAGGTGGCCGGGTTGGGCCGGAGTCAGGGCTGGCCGGCGTGCGCGCGCGCCCGTGGCCCCTGCGCGTGGAGCTGGTGGTCCTGCCTCAGGCGGCCCGGCCCGGTTCCGGGGTCGCGGAGCCGCGGGCCTTCTGTTTGGCTGCCTCCGTCCGGCCTCCCGGGGCGGCCCCAGGCCCTGCCTCGCCGGGTGCCCCCGCCCCAGGCTCTGTCCCCTTGCACCTCTGTGGCAGGGGCGTCCGGTGTGGGCACAGCGCGTGGCCCGTGGAGCGCGGGGCAGGTACATGAAGACGTGTCTGTCCCATCGTCGCCTGGTCCCGGGTTTCCTCGCTCCCCAGCGGGGGCTCCGTGGGGGCGGGGGGGCAGGGCGCTGCGTGTGTGTGTCGGTCACGTGGCCCTGGCCTGAAAGGCTCCCTGGCAGGGGCTGGCGTCGGTCTGAACGCCCGGCTCTGCCCAGAGCCCCTCCTGCCACAGACCCCAGCTCTGCGCTAGTGCGGCCGGCGCCGTCGGGGCGCTGGCGCCGGACACTGTCCTGGAGGGGCATGCGAGGGGGCTCGGAGGCCCTTAGTGACGGTGGCGGGAAGGCGGCCGGCGGTCGCCCTCAGGGAGCACTTGCTGCTGGAGGTGTCTGTCAGCAGCGCCAGCTGTCCCACAGCCGCAGCGCCGGGGAGGGGTCCCGGGAGGGGACGAGCTCTCTCCCGCCTGAGGACGCAGCCTGCCCTCGCTGTGCGGACAGGCTTGGCGGCCACCGGCTCTGCCCCGTCCTGTCCCCACCCCCGCCCCAGATGACCAGGACCCAGGGCCCTTGGTTCCAGGGTCTTGATGTCACTTCACTGGAATGGCTCTGGGTCAGCAGGGAGGCGGGGGCGGGGGACGTGGTCACTGAGACCTGCCAGAGGGTCGGCCTGGCTCCAGAGGGCGGCCCTTCCCCGCGGCCTCGCGCCCAGCACCGCCCCTGCGTCCGAGCCGCGTCCTGACGCAGAGCTCCCTCCTGGCCCTCAGGCAAAGGACAGGGCTGAGCCGTCCCCTCCAGGAAGGGGCCGCTGCCGCTCCCTGGACCGTCTGCGACGCCGCTGGCCACACCACGCGGAGTGGCCGGCGGCAGAGCCGGACGGGGGCAGCGAGCTCGCATGAACCCGGGCGGCCAGGGGGAGGAACGGCGGCCCGGCAGGGCCACCTGGCTGACACCGGGCCCTGCCGGCCAGGCTCTGCCGCCCCGGGGGCCCGGCGGGTCCGCGGCCAGCGGGCGACTGACGGCTGTCTCTTCTCGCCCGCAGCGCGGATCATCCGGACCAGGCAGTGGTGCGACATGCGGCCCTGCCTGGAGGGCGAGGGCTGCGACCTGCTCATCAACCGGTCGGGCTGGACCTGCACGCAGCCCGGCGGGCGCATAAAGACCACCACGGTACGTAGCAGCCCCGCGCCTGCAGTGCCCGGGGCGGGGGGGCGCAGGTCACCACCGGCCCCACAGCCCCCGCCGCCCCGCCTCCCTCCGGGGCCGAGTCAGCCTGCCCCCTGCTGTCCTGGTCCTACAGACGGTCACCGCGCAGCCGGCACAGCTGCCCTCCAGGCTCGTCCGACCGGGAGGCGGCCCCGGGCTGCCCCAGGCAGGGTCGCCGGCGGGCGCCGTCTTGTTTCTGGGGGAGATGTTAGAGCCCCGCCCCCCAGCAGCCGGGCTGCAGGGGTCTCCCTGCAGGGAGAGGGGACCTTTAAAGGACAGCAGAGGTGCGGGGCCTCCGCGGGCCCGTCCTGCGACCCGGGCTCCGCGCAGGGGCCGTCAGGACAGAGCAGGCAGCCTGCAAGGGTTATGGGGCCCCCCGAGGTCTCTGTCGGGACCGCCCAGGATGCGAGCGACACGGGCCGCCCCCGGGCCCGGCGGTGTCCCCGGGAGACCTCGGGGGGCCGTTGCACGACAGGGCCGTGAGACCGGTCTGAGTCGCCGCCGCAGGAGAGCCCCCCGCCTCCGTGGCCAGGCACGCACGGGGCTGCGCCCTGTCCTGGCCTCTGGGGACACATGTGAGGACAGGCTGTGATGCTGTGGCCTCGGCCACTCCCCAGGCTGTCCCCTGTCGGACCTCTCGGCTGTTGGAGACCTCTGGCACCTGAGGGACTCTGGGTCCTCGGCGCCGGGGGCGGCCGGTCCCTCGCAGGCCTGGGCGCCCCGTGGAGCACGGCGGCCGTGGGGCGCGCTGAGGGCCGGCTGGAGCCGGCCACCCTGGAGTCCGAGCCGCACGCCTGTGCTTGTCTGTCCGTGCTCAGCGCGGGCGAGCGGTTCTGTCACCCGCCTGCCGGGGGTGCCACCGGGAGCGGCCAGCTGGGCTTCTGAGGTCTGCCTGTGCCTGGGGGTCCCGTTTCCAAAGGGCACAGGCCTGGGGACAGGCAGACCCCTGGACCGCATGGCCGCCTTCCTCACATCTGTGGGCCCAGGGCCGCCCTGGACCAGGAGGTCCCGCAGGGACAGGAGCCGTTGAACGGAACCGGGAGGAGCGGAGGCTGAGAGCGGGGGGCTCCAGAGGGCGGGGGGCTCCGCCTGGGCCTGGGGGTGGGGCCGCAGTGGCCGGCCTGGCCTGCCCCTGAGGCTCCCGGGCCCCCGGCCGCACCCTTCCACGTTCCCTCTCCGGGCCGAGCGCTGCCCGGCTCCCCGTGCTCTGTGCCCAGCCCCCACCCACAGCCGCTTGCCGTGGGAACGCCCCGCGGGCCCTTCCTCCGCTCTGAGCGCCGCCGAGACTGGCCAGGCGCTCGCCCCCTGTGGCCTCACGGGCCTCGGGGCTCGCATCTGGGGCGGGGGGCGACCCCGGACGCCCGTGGCCCGTGGGCCCTGAAGCTGGGCGCCCATTCGCTGGGCCTGCCCGGCCCTGCAGCCCCACGGCCCTCAGCTCAGCAGACGCGGTGCGTGACTGTCTCAGGTGCGCAGGCCGGCGCGCCTGCTGGTCCAGGGGCAGGACGCACTCCGGCCACGCCCGGATGCCCACTCCCAGGGTCCTGCACGTCCCGGGGCGGGGGGACACTGCCCCCCCCCGAGAGGCACAGCCCGCCCCCCCCAAGGCAGAGCAAGCGCCTGAGCGGGCGCCGTGAGAGCCGGTGAGCTCAGCTTCTCCCCGCGGGGCCGGCAGCTCTAATGGAATCCCTGGCCTGGGGCGACCTGTTTTCAGAGCTTTCTTGAAAGGTTAGTTGAGCTCTTGACCCAAACACCTCATAATTGGAACACTCCATCCCATTTTCAGAGCCGCGTCTCGGCTCCCGCAAGCGGCAGATCAGCGCTGCGGGCCTTCTCGTTCGACCGTAAATTGGTTTTCTGGGAGATGGGCTTTCAGGAACCTCCTGGTGGCTCGGCCCCCCGACTGCCGGTTCCATCCCCGCAGCCACGTGCTCCGTCCGGCTCCGCCCCCCCCCCCCCCCGGCCACAGCCCCCTCTGGAGGGGCAGCCTCGTCCCCGCCTCGCCACCTTCTCCGTGGAGGCGGGGGCTGTCCGCTCCTCTGTGCCCACAGACTGAGCCGCTGCTGGGCGGGCACGAGGCCTCGGGGCTGCCCCTGCCCTGTCCCCGCTCGCAGGGCCCCTGGCATGTGTGTGACCGGTGGATGGATTGAGGCTCAGGGCAGGCCGCAGGCACGCGCCGACGTCCGCGTTTGCTGGAGCGCTGCTCTTCCCAGCTCAGGCCGTCGCCCGTTAGGGGTGGGGCAGTTAGCGGTGTGGGTCGTCGTCCGCCTCGAGGAGGAAGAGGAGGAGGAGGAAGACGCCGGGCGAAAACATCGGTACACATCCTGCGTCAGAGGGTGGGGGCCCTTCCCCGAGATGCATGCGATCCCCACGGCAGGGGCGCGGGGGACCTGGGCCTCATCCTCGGGGGCGCAGGGGACCCGGTGTCCCTGCTGCTGTCCAGGCTCTGCGTTCCCTCTGTCACTACTCCGTGGACCTTCATCCGCATCAGGCAGGACGACTCGCGCGGACGCTGCAGGCTGTCCCCAAGGTCAAGAGCGGCGACCCCCCCGACCCTCCACGCAGGCTCCCGCTCCCAGAGACAGGCTGCCAGCCGACCGCCCCCCTCGCTCGGCCCGGGACAGCGCCCCACACGGGGCTCACCGAGCGGGAAGAGCGGGGGAGGCTGGCCCGGAGCCAGGGCCTGGTGCCAGGCCGCGAGCGGAGCTCTTCCTGCCGACCCGCCGCTCGTCTCCGCGGGTGGGCACGGGCCTGGTGTTGGCGTTCTGGAATATTCTAATCGGCGCTCACTCCACCACAGTTTGCCATGTTGTACATTGCAAGATGCCCACAGTCGGAATAAACCACCAGGTTGAACTCCGTTTTCCGATGAGCCGTGAGGCGCCGCGCTGGAATTCTGTGCCGCGTGAGGACGCCGTCGTGGGGTGGGCCGGGTTCCAGGGCGTCGGTCTGGCTCGGCTCGGGGGCCGGGTTTTGGGGGAAGTCGTCACAGCAAAAGCACCCTTCCCCGGAGTGGGGACACCGTGGGGCGCAAGGCGGCAGCGGCGGCCCCTGACCCCGAGGACACGGGACACCCATGGTCTGCCCCCGCCTCGGTGTCCCCCGGGGCAGCGAGGCGCGAGGGGGCGGGGTCTCCCTCAGACACTGGGGGCGCCACCGCGGCCCGGCCAGCAGCTCGCCTGTCTGCCACACTCCTATATGGTAACACCCCGGCTGCTGGCTGGTGTGCAGGCCAGGAGGCCAGCAGGAGCCACGAGGGCCCTGCGGCCGGGGTCCAATAGCTACCCCGGGGGCCTGTCACATGTCGCAGCTAACTGCGGCGCGGCATTTAAAACACGCTTTGACAACGCGCACATACATGCATGCCCACACAGACTGATCGACCGACGCGGGTATGTGAGTATAACAGAATTTGTTAAAATCCAGTCGCCACAGAGTGGAATTTTTTAGAAAGAACTAAGAAACAGGAAAGGAAAAAATAGATGAGAAGATCAATCCAGGAGGTCTGGGGAATGTGACATCCGCAAGCAGAAAGAAACGAAGAAGCAGCTTTCAAAGAAACGGTCCCTACAGAAGTTCCCAGGGTTCAGAGGCATGGGTTCCTTCTGCGTGAGCGCACGGACCACGCGTGGACAAGTGGGTGGAGCCCCCCCCGACACTCCTGGGGCTGAGCAGCGTGAGGGCCAGGCCAGGACACAGCACGCGATTGCCCCCAAACCCTGGGGGAGAAGAGGTGACACCCACAGACTCTGCCCGCCGTCCTGCCAAGCTCCCTGAATCGCCGCCCGCATCCCCCCGGTGACGGCCGCGTTTCAGGAGCTGGGGCGTGTCCGGCTGGCGCAGTCACAACTGTGTTGTGAGCGTGACAGTCCACTTTCTCAGCGGAAAGGAGCCCAGGAGCAGCAGGTCTGGCCCAGCCGGTGCTCCTTCCGCAGGCACTTTGGCCGGTTCCGTCACAGCAGGCATTCCAGGTGACGGCTGTTTCCGGGAGGGGCGCCGCCTCCGTCTCCACGCGCCCCAGAGCGCCTGCTGCAAGAGGGTGCAGGGCGGCTGACCCGCAGGCAGCCGTGTGCCGGGGGAGGGGCCGGCGGCGGGGGCAGCCGTCGCAAGGGGCAGGGGTCCCGAAGCCACAGAGGGGAAGGTGGTGGGCGCAGGGGACACCCCCCCCGCCCCTCTGCCACTCCTCCCCGCCCCCACATCCCCATGTGACTCCCCCCTGGATGCGGATCCCGCAGGATGGAGCCGCTCTGCTCCGCCCCCGCCCCCCCCCCCCCGCAGTTGCCGGAGACCACAGCGCCCCGGGAAGCTCTGGGCGGGCCTTCGTGTGGGGGCGGAGGGGCCGGTGCAGTGGCCCTGGCACCAGGTGCGTTGCTGAGAACGGAAGGTGTGAGTGTTCGCTGAGGAACCGGACCGAAACACCGGGTGGGAAGGTGCTGGCCGGGCACTGTTTGCCGCAGCCCCGCCCGGTGGGCCCATCGGCAGCCCCAGAGGAGGCGGGGCCCTGCCGCAGAGGATCCCCCGGGAACCGCCTCCGGGATGGGGCGGGCGGGCCTTCCAGGCTCGCGGCGGCGGCACCCACCCTGGGCCCTGTCCAGTGCGCCCGCCAGGGGCCTCGGGCGTACCTGTGGCCGCCGCCCCCGCCCCCCGCCCCCTGTCCCGTGCCTTTGCTAGGACTGCCGCTGAGGTGCCGGCGTCGGGGTCCCCAGAGCCGCGTGCGTCCCCCACAACCTTGTCAGCAGTGAGCATGGGATGAGGACTCTGCGCGGCGGCCGTCCAGCCCCCATGTCCACGCGCCTGTGGAAGTGAGCGCAGCGCCTTCACGGCTCAAAGCGCAGGAGACGCGTGTAGGTGGCTGCAGCCGTCCCAGACGCCCCCCAAGAGCAGGGGGGACACCAGGAGCCCTGCTGTGTCCCCGGGCCCCAGCGGTGGCGCTGGCCTCCCAGGACGCATGCCGTCCTGTGCCTCCC